TTTTATAACTGGAGCTTAAGTTTTTCGGTTACAAAGACAAAAACTTCTGCTGAAGTTTTCCAGTACAAAAGAAAAACTTCAGCCCCGTGGGCTGAAGTTATGTGAAAAAGCGGGTACGCTTGCAATTTTTTTTGCAAAGCGGGCATAAGTTAAAATGTGGCACAAAAAACGGATACAGAAACAAATGCCCCAAAATTTCTCACCCTCTAATTTCAAAAATTGTGGAAGTTGGAGTGTCAATTCATGTCTTTAATCAAAAGAATATTTACACCCCAAGAGAAAATAAGGAAAAAGATAAATGAAAAGAACAACTACCCAAGATCTCTAGGATCATTGTGATTTAATAAGATGTACTTATTACGTTAATTGTCAAGGTATGTGGGCTAGATTGCATTAAATGTCAAATAATATATTAATTCGGGTTGCTTAAAGTAGTTTAATTGCAGAATTAGACCAAAAACCAACTTCCTTAATGAAAGGGAAATTAATGAGAGGAAGTTGTTTCAATTCAATATCAAGTCGTTGATTATAGTTGTATGAAAATGACAAGAATTAAGAAAGTTAAGTTGCAATTGGTTGAATTAGAATTATGGTATGAGTTTGGTGAAGATATAGTTAGGTAATTTATATGATGGCATATTTACTTGTGTATTAGACAAAGGCACGAGTATTACACTGTCAAACTAAAAAAGAACAGACAATTTTAGACTAATAATAATTAAATCAAGATGTGATTGGCATAATGGCATTACATTTATACGTGTAAGATACTCATCTAAAACCATTCTCCTTTAATGCAAACCATTCTCATTTTACTTGTCACTTTACGCGTATCGATAATTTTTCCCCCCTGTTATACCCACAATATTTATTACTAATTTCAAATTATTTTCTCAAATCCAATAAAATATGCATCAATTAATATGTGTATCATGGTAAATTATGCACTCCATTTATTATTTTTTAAAGGGGCGTGAAAAGTCAAAACGTACCAAGTAAAAGTGAACGGAGGGAGTAATTTTTTTCTCGTTTGACCATAAATACTTATAAGAACAACATATACAATGTATTCCTACAGGTGGGTTGATCATAAATACTTAGGGGCCGTTTGGTATAATGAATAAGCAAAAATAACTCCGAGATAACAATTTAGTACCGCCATATCCCTTGTTTGGTTACTAATTAGTTATCCTAGGATTAAAAACAGTACAGGGATAACTTAGACCTGCCAGAGGATGAAAAATTATCCCAGGATAAAGCAATAAAATTGACAATCTCATGATTAATACAACATACCAAACAGTCAATAGGAAATAATACCAGAATAATTAATCCCTGCATAATTAATCCCAATATAACTAATACCATCATAACTTGTCTTTAAACAAAACGACCCCTCATAGTTTCTGTAAAAACTAAAATTGTACCTGCAAATATTGTACTTCATTGTTTGAAATACTAATAAAAGATTGAAAGACTTGTTTGATGAGTATTTAAGTAAATTATGATTTTATCCATAAAATCTTAAATTATTTATCATGTACTTTTTTATTAGCAAGTTATTATAAAATCTAATGTGGTAACAAAATGCTTTTATCATATAGTTCACAAAGTAAAATAACTGTTCCATAATTCATAAGTTTCAACATTTCATTTTCTTTGTTATTTTTTCAGAATTACTGCACCCCACAAAATATAAAATGTGTAAGGGAAAGATGAAAAGAAAGACTACAAAAGTTAGAGATTTCCAGACCCAATAAATTTGTGGTGAGATGTATAAAGCCAAAAAGAATCCTACAAAGCTACAATTAAAAAATCTACCTGTCTGATTTAGCCATCCGTGCAATACTTTTAATATTATTTGTACAACCATAAATTAACACTTTCCCCCACCTCCTCAGTAACCACATTTCTACTCAATGTCAGTAAAAATCCACAAGAATCACTAAAAGTATGATTGGTGAAAAAAACTATAGTATTACATAACCATATTCCAAAAAATAATATAGCAGGTAAAATATATTTTTTGTATATTAATATAATATACATATATAAAAAAATAATTTTTATACATAATTATTATATATTTTTTTTATATATTTGGCTAACGAATGTAATTTTTTTACCGACCAACCAAATATGTAACTTGCCCAAATTCTTTTGCCATTAATCAGAATCTTGAATTCTAGTCTAGAAGTGAGAACTCTTCATAGAGAAGCTTTTCCCTCTTAGTCTCAAATGAGTTATATTCGATGCAAATGTGAATTAGTTTAACATTAAATTGTTCACTTGAAAACTTAAGCTAAGAAGGTACGAACGAAATGATGAGTTCATTAGTTTTGGTAATCATTAGGATTTTCGGGGATGTTCAATACTAATATATTTCACAATAAAGTAGCGGAGTTAGAATTTTAATAGGAGAATCAAATTGTGAGAATACCACGTTTAAAATTTAAACTTGTAATCTAAATAATATTTGAGCTACCTTTCCAATTACCTATAAAGCTTTTTTTTTTTTCGTATCAAATAGATTCAAAAACATGTCTATTTTAGTACTGTTTACCCTGGAATCCGGATAACAATTGAATTTATATGGGGTTTTAAGGATCCGTGAACTAAAAGATACAAAAGGTTTGGATTGAGGAAAATAAAAGATAAAGACTCAACAATTGCTGCTAAAGTAAATAATCGCAGAATATAATATTGCTTAGAACAATTGTGCTTGATAGCGTACAAGAATTGAGAGAGATGGTACCGTAGTGTAATGGTTTCCCATCCCCTCTTTATGGGGTCTTCTCCCCTTTTATACATTCTGATTAAGGGTAAAAATAAGGTAGGTAAATTAATTACATCGTGGATCCCTGTAATTACGCCTTAATGGCCTGAAGTGGTTGAGAAAATCACGTTTGGGCGAGATATCCGGCGACGCTTGGTTATCCGTTACGAGTCCGGCTTCCGACCTTGTGTGTTTCTCCATCCGGTGGTGACTCATATCGAGCTCTGCAACGGTCTCGAAATGACTCGACCTCGGTTGTTGACGTGGCCGTCGTTCTACCTTGCATCCAGGTCGGGTTCGATGGCCCCGACTTGCCCCGGACCGGACCCAACCCGGTCGGGCTCAAGCAAAAAGGGTATCACCCAATACAGATAGTCCCCTCGTTTATTAGAGAGTAATGATAATAAACGATATGATCGGTGACGTGATGCCCGTGACGTATGGCCATACGCCAGCTGAAAAACCCATCGAGTGCTCT